AGATGCAACGTCAACGAGTAATTAACGCGACCAAAAACCTCCTTGGCGAAGGTAATAATGATGATAATTATTATTATTGTAATAAGAGTGATAACAATGATACTGATAAAGATAATGATAATAACAGTAATGATGATGATAGTAATATCGGTAACAATAGCAACAACGATGAAGAAGATGATAATAGTAATAACAATAATGATAATAATAATAATAACAATAATAACAATAATGATGTTGCTAATGATAATGAAGATGATAATATTAATGATAATAATAATAACAATAATAATAACAATAATAATAATGATGATGATAATGGTAATATTGATAACAATAATAATCATTACTATGATTACTACTAGTATTATCATTATCATTATCATTATTATCATTATTATTATTATTATTATTATTATTATTATTATTATTATTATTATTATTATTATTATTATTATTATTATTATCATTGGCATCATTATAATAGTAATAATAATAGTAATGATATTAATAATCATAATAAGAGTAATGATAATGATAATGATAACAATAATAATGATTATGACAATAATAATGATAATGATAGTAATTATAATGATAATGATAATAATGTGATAATGGTAATAATAGTGATAATGGTACTGATAATAATAATATGATAACAATAATTGTAATAATAACCATCATCATCATCATCATCATCATAATAATAATAATAATAATATATAATATATAATAATTAATAATAATTATAATGATGATAGTAATAATAATAATGATATTGCCATTACTATTAATGATAATGATAATAATTATAATAAAGCTAACAATGATGATGATAATGATAATAACGATAAACAATGATAATAATGATAATAACATAACAATAACAATAATTATAATGATACTACTACTATTAATAATAATGATGATAATGATAATATTAATGATAATGATAATGATCACATTCATGATAGCGATAATGATTATCATGACAATAATGATGATAAAGATAACAATGATAATGATGATAATCATAATAATAATGATAATGCTAATAACAATAATAATAATAATAATAATAGTGATAATGATAATGATAATGATAATAATGATAATAATAATAATAATAATAATAATAATAATAATAATAATAATAATAATAATAATAATAATAATAATAATAATAATAATAATAATGATAACGATGATAGTAATAATGATAATAATAATAATGATAATCATAATGATTATAATAATAATGATAATGGTAATAATGAGATGAAAATTATAATAATAATGATAATGATACTAATAGTAATATTAATAGTGATGATGATGATCAAGATAATAATGACAATAATGATAATGATAATAACAATAATAATGATAAAGATAACAACAGTAATAATAATAATAATAATAATAATAATAATAATAATAATAATAATAATAATAATAATAATAATAATAATAATAATATAATATAATAATAATAATAATAATAATAATAATAATAATAATAATAATAATAATGATAATGATAATAATATTAATAGTAATGATAATAATAAACATTCATGTTCGTTCATGAAGATAATCTATAAAAGAACGTGTCGTTTTAATTGAATCTAACTTATGGTAGCCAAGGTATATGCAAGTACATATATAGACCTCGATGGTAGCTTCTATCCAAATGACCCACTTGTTCTTATTTAGACAAATGGCTAGAAAATGTGGTCTATTTCCACGCAGATAACGTAAATTGTGCTAATTTGTTTGTTCATCTGGAGTATATCATATTACGTGTAATGAGTTTAATGAATACGAATTTATGTCTTATACACGCCACGTTAAAATAAATCAAATGAGTATCTACTTCTAGTGAAACATGTTACAGTGAACGCTGAATTCACTGTGTATCGTAAAATGTTATTCGTGTACTTCATTAATCGTTCGCAATATATTTTTTGTGGATGTATTGTAATGGAAGGATACAGTATTTTGTATTAATCCTTATTTGTTATTATTTCAGTTATTACGGTCCACGAATCGTTTAGTCCGTGGCAGTGGGTGTGTTATGCACCGAGGAAAAAAAAAACTATTATGTAGCAAGTTTTGCTTATAACATATTCTTATAACATATTCTCCATGTACATATTTATGTATAAGCTTCCCTGGATGAAATTTCCAAATTAAATGTTAGATTTTCATTCACATTAAAAACTTTTTTGATCCTGTAGAGTTATTTCAATTAAAGCACATTAGCAACTTAGCGCTTTTCGCTATAGACGAGCGCTAAAGCCTTGTTTGTTTACATGGCAGTGCCAGATTGGCGAATTCATAGATAGAGTAAATTATTCGTGATTCATTAATAGTCAGTTGACAGCTGTTGGTGAGAATGGGAAGGCATTGAGGAACGTGAAAAGTACCAGGAAATTATATGAGATACTCGGTAGTAATAGTGATAGTAAAGGTTCTGACGTATAAAGACAGGCAATTGTTTTCATTGTTCCATAGCTTTATCATTATCAGGAGGAAGATAATGATAGAATGGGCGGTTATTTGACCGTCTCCTCGAGGCAGGACGTAGTATCTCTAGAGAAGAACAAGCAGAGTTTATCAGTTTAGGAAAATTTATTTATTTAGCTGTTGCCTTTGCTCGAACTGGCTGTGTCATAGGTGAGGAAAAAAATGATTTGTTTATGTATATTTAATTCTAGGTATACAGAAGGACACTCCCAGGTATTTATGTTGTAAAGAAGTGAAATGGCCAGACCAGTCAATATTAGATATTTGTATTTTATTTATTACATTGTAATGTTTGAAAAATTATTTTTTTTTTTAAAATTTATTTTATTTTCATCTACAAAGATTCACACCTTAATATTGGCTTTGCAGGCAGATGCAACATAGAACTTGGAGAATGGAGGATCACTGGACAGCAATTGTGGTGACCTGTTCCACTGCCATAATAAGGGAAGGCCTGGAGAAAGGTTGGTTTTTAAGCTAATGTGCGAGTATGCCAGGATGCAATTTGTTGAATATGACTGATTCTTCTGCAAGGAAAATTCGTCAATAGATTTGTTAAAAGGATCCAAGTTTTCTCTTGCTGTATGGGGAGTTTTTAAACAGTGTAGCCCAGCATTAAGTAATTCAGGAAAATAATTGAGATTTGTTTTTGCATTTCATAGTTTTACAAAAAATTTGCTCTAATTTCCAGAATGCAGCCGTCTAGCAAAGGTGGGGTTGTTACCCAGCCATGAACTTCTCATGGTAGTGGATGACCCTCAGTGGGAGAAGATATCCAAAGAAGAAAGTGCAAGTAAAACATGTCGGTTAGAGCAAGGAGTAGGTAGTGGTGGAGCGACCATCAATGCACTCCTTGTGGCAGTGGAGAGGCTCTCGGCAAAGAGGAATCACACTACGGTATTTTGGCTTCCTGGAGCATTTTAGTTTTTTTGTTTATAGAACATAACAAATACTCCTTCCTCCCTTCAAAAATCGTATTTTGAGTAACAATTTGTTTACACACAGTTTCCCTCAATAATGCTTATTTATTTTCTAAATTTGTCAAGGAAGTTTTGAATTTACTCTGTGTCTATGTCTGTGTGCACTAATATCTAGGTATTTATGTATTTATATATGTGTAGATGTATGACATACAAAAATTGGTAAATGTTTAGGAGATTCTCCAATATTTTCCACTGGGCTAACTGGAAAGACTTCGAAGTCTCTACTACCTGTTTGGGCAAGATAAAGCCTATAGATCTCTCTTGTGATTTATTGTCAGATAAGAAATCAATCCAATCTCTACCTCATGTTGCAGAATTTTGTTGGCCTTTGCTTGTGTGTAAAGCATGGAGGTTGCAGTGATCAACTGATACTACAACACTCTTGTGTTCAGAGTGTAGGACATCCATAATAGAGCACATCATAGCTTTAGTGGACTGTGATAAAACATAGATGATCTGATTACAAGAAAGAAGCTCAATTTTGAGAGCCGCTGTATCAGGTGCCTTCTTAACATATATATAAAAAAAAATGGTATTGTATAATATAAAGCTTAATGTTCTCTAGTCACACCTTTACCACCAGGTGCATTCAAGAGATACTGATTTCCCACTGTTTCAGTATCTAATGATGTTGTCTTTCATATTAATCTGTCAGCTTGCCTGAGTGCACTATCCTTTAATCCACAGAAATTATACTTGAAAATGATTCCTGTGGGTAACAACTGCTTCTTGTTTATGTTTTTTCTTGTGTTTATTGCAGTATGGTGTTCAGAAACTAAGTATAGATATGCTCTTATTTGATTACTCTTGGGAATTATTGCATCAGTATTAATTTTAAAAATGTATATTCATATACAGTATTGTAGTCTATATAGGAATAAGTGATCTTTCCTCTCAGAGTATTATTTTTAAAGAAGTAATATATTTTCTATACTTAGTGAAAACTTCCAGTGAATTTACATCAATATAGCGTTGTGATTATAGTAACGCTATGCATACCAACAGATAAGCAGTGAATTGGTTTACAACAGCCGCTTCTTAGTGGTTCACCATGGTCGGGTCTTGGCACACTCCCCAGGTGGCTCGCCCTTCCTGTATGTTCCTCCTGAGTTAGCCTGCGTCTCTCAGAGAGCCATGGCAACACCCCCAACACTGCTCCAGCATGTTATTTGGATGGCAACAAAAGTAAGTTTATTTGGTGTGTCTGATTTATTTCTACAGAAGGATGCTTCTTGTATTCTCAGTAACTATGGTTAGGCCTTTGTAGAAATATTTGTAATACCCAGGGTTATAAATCTTTTAGCCTTATATATATGCATGTATGTATGTATGTATCTATATATATTTATGTATATATCTATCTATCTGTCTATATATATTTTTTTTCTTCTTCTTTTTCTTTTTTTCTTTTTCTTTCTTTATTCTTTTTTCTTTTCTTTTCTTTTTCTTTTCTTTTCTTTTCTTTTCTTTTCTTTTCTTTTCTTTTCTTTCTTTTCTTTTCTTTTATCTTTTCTCTTTTCTCTTTTCTCTTTTCTCTTTCTTTTCTTTTCTCTTTTCTCTTTTCTCTTTTTCTCTCTTTCTCTTTTTTTCTTTTCTCTTTCTCTTTTCTCTTTTCTCTTTCTTTCTCTTTTCTTCTCTTTCTTTTCTCTTTTCTCTTTTCTCTTTTCTCTTTTCTCTTTTCTTTCTCTTTTCTCTTTTCTCTTTTCTCTTTTCTTCTTTTCTCTTTTCTTCTTTTCTCTTTTCTCTTTTCTCTTTTCTCTCTTTCTCTCTTCTTCTTCTCTTCTCTTCTCTTCTCTTCTCTTCTCTTTCTCTTCTTTCTCTTCTCTTCTCTTCTCTTCTCTTCCTTCTTCTTTCCCTTCCCTTCCCTTCCCTTCCCTTCCCTTCCCTTCCCTTCCCTTCCCTTCCCTTCCCTTCCCTTCCCCCCACTTATTTTATGTTCATATTTGGCTTTCCAGTGTAGCATAGTTCATCAGTTAAGGAAGATTAGAATTAGGTTATGAGTGCAAAACTGTGCTCTTATCATTTACATTATTGTCCTCATTTGTTTTTGCCATATTGACATTAACAATATTTGAAGAGAAGAAAAATGTTGAAAGACTGATAAGTGCCTACAGAAGAAAAATATAAACTTGAGTACATGATCATGATACCCTGATTTAGTTTATGGAATTTTTTTGTATATAGAGCTCTTTCGATACTCTGGGTCCATTTTCTAATTTTATGCTCAGACTGAAGGAAAGTTCATGGGAATATTCACATAGAAAAGTTACAGTTTTCTATTTCCAGTCCAGAAAAATAGTAAGCATTATTTTCCACAAATGATATCCTTCCTTTAGATAAAAAGGTTTGAGTTGTTACCTTTTCTTGCAGGTAGGAAGGAAGAGCAACACAGGAGTCTGGGTGACCTCTCTTGATGCCTTCATTCCAAATTCACCACAAATTCAAGCTCCTGATACAGATGGTGTCAATGGTGCTGTTGTATGCACCATCAAGACGCCCTTTCAACAAGCCACTCATCATGGCACTGTCATTACTGATGGAAGAAAGAATATTTTAAGGATGGAGTATAAGATGTCATTGGACAGAATGAGTAAGAATGTTTATTTTAAAATTATGTATTTATGTTTTTGTATTGATTTGATAGTATGTCTAAGTATAATTGTTTTTACATATAAGATTACTTTTATGAAAAGTTTTTGCCAACACTCTTTACATGGTGATTCTAGATCAAAATTTAAACTAGAATTGAATTGAATAGAACTAGTAACTTAGAAATTACATTGTTGCAGAGCTCTTTTAGAATATTTTACTCATATTTAATTTATAAAATACTTGAGAAAAAAATATCAGATTGTTTTGTCTCTTGTGTTTTGCTCACCCAGAGTTCAGTTTTATATATATTACCACAAGGGGTGTGTTGCAATAGTTAATGAAGAATTTTGTTATACTTCCCAGTCAGAATCGTTTGTCAAATAGCATTTTTAAAAAGTGTTTTATTACTACAAGGAAATAGAGTAAATGAAATGTGTCAGACGTAAATTAACCTGTAAACTGGGACATGCATCATATGAAGAACAGCATGTAACTGTGATGTACATCAAATGATACGAAGGCTATTTTTATAATTGGCGGCTTATATTCCACTACCATATATCTTGAAATGATGTTTGGCAGTTCAGGGAACTTTGCTACACCAATACACCTGAACTAAGATAAATGATGAACCAGTATTTGGTTTTCCTATATTTTCCATGCAATCTTTAAATCTAGAACAAAAAAATTCACTTTTGAAAACTATTTTTCTATGCCAATAATTGTTCATCTTGGTAACCCTGCCAGAACTCTATTGTGCAGTTTATGGGTTAAAGTCACACATACAAGATACAGGACTAGGTATTAGCTTTCTCCATATTGAATGTGAATTGAATTTTCCAGTGATTGTATTAATTTATTTTGACTTGGATGCTACAAATTATAAGTAGATTTAAATAGGTTGGTTTTCTAATCTGGAAATGTGTTCCTTGTAGATGATATTTTTCATCACATTCTTTTGTTTTTGTTACAGAGGAAGTATTTATGAAGGATGAAGCACCTGTCATCTCAGGCCTTGTGTTTCTTAGTGCATCTTTGACAGAGCAGTTGCTGGGGTTACACACGCTCCCTCCTCTTGATAGATGCACATACTATGGAACAGATAGTGGAATTCCACCATTACAGGTATGTCTATACATTTTTTTGTGAGTAGGATATGAAAGTATTGTAGGGTTATCAGATTTCATTTCTGAATGAAATAGTATAATCAACAATCAGTGAGAAGATGAGAAAAGAATAATCACTGCATTTAATGTATTTTCATATGGAATTGGTTCCAGGTTTCATTATACTTTGACTTGTTACTGCCATTATGTAGTGGTGTGGAGGAGAAAGAGTACCTGTCAGGTCAGTGTGGGGCTGTGTACGCTCAGGTTGCCAAGTATGATATCACAGCAGTGCAGGAGTTACACACTGCCAGGTTGGTCCTACGAACTTGTGAATTAAGCTATGATATTCAGTATTATATCACCAAACCTATTTTTTAATTGGTCTTGTGTTCACACTTCAGATATCCCAAAATTTCAATACTTTTCCTTTTTTTTCAGACTTCAAATATGGAAACAATTGCAAGGATTGAAGGCAGTGTTCCATTCTCTAGAAGGCACCAGGCATCATTATTTAGCATCACATTTAACATATGAATCCATTATATTGCCATTGCTTGCTCCAAGTTGTGTGGGCAATAGCCATCTCCATGTACCAACTAGTGGTGCAGTGAAAACAATCAATGCTTACATAGAAGGAAGTGTGAAGTCAACAGGCAAAGATCTTTTCATTGTGGACTCATGGATTGGCAAAGATGTTGCTCTAGAGTGTTCTGGCTTGAGTACTTTGTCTGGCTTCCAGCTGCCATGTGCAAGATTACAGCTTCAGCTTGCTGGTGACTGTGTATGGCAGATGCATCCTACAAGTGTACAAGATGTTATAACTTGTTATGGAATTAAAGACCAGTTGAGCCTGCATTACCAGGAGAAGGAAGCAAAAATATTCAACACAGACTGGCCAGTATTTATGAAAAGGACAGGATTAAGTCCAGACATACTGTGGCCAAACCAGGCAAGTCACCACCAAACATTCTTGACTGCAAAGCTGTTTTCAAATAAAATTTCAAAGGAGGAACAAATTCAGAGTTTGGCCATCATGGTAAAAACACTTACAGATGACATTTCCATGAGCGAATGGAAATCTAGGATCGAAGAATGGAAAGTGGGCTCTAGGATTTCACTTCTTGATGCTATAGAAAGCAACATAATGCATAAACTCATAAAGCAACATGAGGATATTTATCTTAAAATTGCTGAGCAAATCATAGAAGCCACTTCAAGTGAATTAGGTGGAAAATCTCTCCTTCCTGTATTTGAGTATATAGCAGCAAGTGAGTATTTCATCTTTCATGTTGTTTGGCATTATTCTTGTGGAAGATATTTTGCATTAAAATTTAAACAGGCTTTGAAATGATCCCTTTTGCCACATTAGAATTTGACATAATATTGTTTTCATTATGTCTGATTATTTTAAGTTGAACGATTTTTCTTTTAATTCACTGTTCAGTCTTACATAGTTGCAGTGATATTCAGAAAGTTGAATTGATATAAACTGTATAATTTTATTAGTGAAAATTGTTCAAACTGTTCAAACAACTCTTTTGTCTTTCATAGGTGGACAGATTTCAGTTAACAAGATCATGACAGTTCTGCATCAGCAACTGAATCATGAACGTCCTACTACTCCACGACTGCTAGCCAACATTGCAGATCTTTTAGGATGCATGGCTGCTGGTGATGGAGGGTTGAGAAGTGGTCCTGCAGCTAACCCTCAGTGGAGGAATGCCCTTCAGCAGCTGAAAGTACGTGCTAGCCCTTTTAGCACAGAAATGATTTTTAAATTGTTTGCCAGGGTTCATGATATTGTAATATGATTATTAACAGTTAACATCCCGTAACATCTTGGCACCACAAAATCATCAGAGTATTTTTGCCTTTATGCTGGGCTTAACATAGAGGTCACCGGTACAAGATAAATGTTAAAGTGTAGGGACAATATTTTAAAACTCCACATCTTTGATGTGTGCTGAACTGAGCTGCCTCGATTGTTAGGTTTTGCATTGAACTAAAAATAACAAACTCACCAAAAAGGCATGATTTTATTAAAACATAATGAAGAGGATTAGCTCATATGAATGTTTATGTACTAATGATTATTATAACAGTAGCTATATTGTGTGAAGTAAATGTAATAAAACTAGTTAATAAATCTAGTATGGATATATTTCTTGTAGGTGGAAAGCTGAGAAAGAAATCACTCTAAGATGAAAGATATCCTAGAGTAAAGGAATTAATTCTGTTTCAAGATAATTCATATTGACCATTTACCATATATTTAATTTGAGAAATTGAACAATATACAAAAACAGGAAGATCAACAAAAGAACAATAAGGAACAGGCTAAAGGGATAATCAAAAACATTTTGCTGTGTATTTTGATGGATGTACAACAATATTAATGTCTAGAACAACAGATAATGGGAAAAAATACTTCTCTTCCTCTCCTTTATGGTTAGGAAGGTAATATAGGGTCTACCAGGCTTCAGGAATTCTATGTGAGATTCTCATCTTTCATCGGCAAAGGAACTCCAACATAGAGAAAGTGAAAATATGAGGCTATATTGCAGGAAGGGGAATGTTAAGTCATTATTAATGAATTCAAACCAATCATTAATCAGATATAAGATCTAGGATGAAATCATTTTCTGTGAAAGTTATTTATTCAACAAATAAAGGTTTACTTGCAGAATAGTGTATTGGTTCATGGATGTCCAACTTCATGGGGATACTAATATTTATGCATATAGATATTGGTAAACTTGAGACAAATTCTCATATGTACAGTTAGGGAACCAGAGTGGAGCAATGGAACTGATGTTTGACACCTGCAAATCATGGATGCAATCAGGTCATCCTGAAGACTTGATTAGAGCTGCTCGACATTATGAACGCGCTTCACAGATTGTCATTAGTCACTTGGTAAGTTGGAAATGTGAGGAAACATTTTTTAGTTATATCGTTTTGCTTTCATTTTCATACCCAGTTTTTAGTCAAGTTTGCCCAATTTACAAATAAGTTTGCCTATCCCTTTTATTTTAAAGTGGAGTTTAATGAGAAGTGAAATCCAAATTCACAGATTCTAATAGTGCCATCATTATTTACTGGGTGTAGTAAGCTCACCCTTTCTTAAAACACTGAACTTGCAGGTGGAGACAGCAGAGATGCATGTATCCCCTATGTGGGTAGCACAGGATTTACGTCAGCAAGTCCCTGTAGGCGTGTGGGTAGAAGCACTCTCCCCTGCTAGGATTGACCTGGCTGGAGGCTGGACAGATACACCTCCCATTTGTTATGAGCAGGGGGGTGCTGTGCTCAACATTGCTATCAAGGTGAAGGGATACTGTTGTGTATTTTTAATGTGTATTGATATGAGAAAAGATTTTTATCTACCCACAGAAAGAGAGTTGAAGTTGTTATGTCTGAATAAGTCTTATATAGACAACTAACTTCATAAAATATTTTATAGATTAACAAGAAGAAACCAATTGGTGCTCGTGTCAGGTTCATTCCTGAACCCCACATTGTGTGTGTTCTCCGTGACTGGTCAGGGGGTGATGTACGCTTGACATGGAGCCAGTTAGAGCAACTTGGTGATTATGATAACCCTGTGGCTCCAGGTGCTCTTGTAAAAGTTGTCCTGCTCTACTGCCGCTTGGTGGATCTCCACAGCGAGGATACTTTGATGTCGCAGTTAAATGAGCGGTAAATATTTTCTTGGTATTACCAGTGACTACAACATGCTTATATAAACCATTGCTTCAGTTCCATTTTGGTAAGTGTTCTGAGAGTAGAAGTTCCTTATCTTTATTCAAGTATGTTTTTAAAGATGTGAGATAAAAAAAAATGCTCTTTCTGAATTTTGAAGGGTTCAGCAAAGTCTTTCAATTTTATATTAGTGTATTACTGTTATTTATTTGTTGTTTTGGCTGTAAGATCTATTAAATTTCCCTGCTAAAGTCTGAATATAGCTGATATGTTATATCCCATTTGCAGTTGGTTTTAGTGTGAAAACCTATTGGGTCCAGAACTCTTGACTTAATTCCTCTTTATATGGTTTAATGTCAAGCTAACCAAACATACAGGCATTGATATTTCATTTTCAAGTGCTAATAAAGATGAAAAAGTAATATAAACAACTGAAATAAAATAGGGATGTGAGATAGAGTGCAATTAATGTATCTGCTTGCACCATTGCCATCTATCATTACCTGTTATTACAGGCAACATATTAGGTATTGTTTGCAAGAAATGTAAAAGCAATATCAGAAACCAGTAGTTCCCAAAATGTGTGTCACAATTGGCTTAGGGTCTGAAACCTTAGGAGAAGTTTGCATCAGCAGGAACTGTATAGAAAAAAATCATTTTGCTGAAACACAATGTCTGATGTATCAGAATTTTGACATTAAAAGTATAAAAAGGAATTTTTGTATAAACAAATATATATCTATTCTAGTTACAATGCAGGTGTGGAGGTTGAAGTGTGGTCACAGCTGCCTCAGGGATCAGGTCTAGGAGGAAGCAGTCTTCTTGCTGGAACTCTAGTGTCAGCAATGGCTGTGCTGTTAGGCCATCCACCTCCATCCCACTCTCACCTTGTGCATGCAACACTTACTATTGAGCAGAGACTAACCACAGGAGGAGGATGGCAAGATCAGGTAAGGTTGATACAAGTATATGAATTGATGATGTAAGTTTATGACTGGGTATATGCATGCTTAGTAGGAGTCTAAAATCCATGTCTTGGGTTTTGGTATATTTTGGTTAAAAAAATAAATGTGAGATCAAAATTTAGACTTGAACATATATTATTTCTTTTGAATGTAATATACCTGTATAATTACTAGTTACACCTACACATGAATTAGTTTTGATGTATTAGTAATGTATACTTATACCACTGATTTGAAAGTTTTCTGTCAGGAGTTATTTTTAAAACTGTCTATATGTAGCAGGATTTTACATTTATTTGTTTCAACAGGTGGGAGGATTAGTAGGTGGTGCCAAATTGGGTGTCAGTAATGTTGGGACACCAGTGACAGTAAATATGTACAAGATACCTCTTCCTGCAGAGATGCTGGACTTCCTTAACAATCATCTACTACTTTTGTACACAGGCAAGGTAACATAACCATGTCTTTCTTCTTCCCTGCTTCACCCAGTTTTTTCCTCTCTCCCTTTTTCCATCTTAATTTATTGTCTGGAATGCCTTGCACTGGCTTTGAAGAATTGTGATAAGTATGCTTTGACCTTTGACCTTTTAGTTTTAAATTGCTTGTGTTAGAAATAT